GGGGGGGGGGGGGGGGGACAATCGTGCGACGAATCACAAACAAGAGGAGATATTTCCCCACGTGCGCTTTTCGTGTCTATTCCAAGCACAATATACCGCGGCAATTAACACTCGCTCGCGCGGATACGCGCGCAAACATTAACGTTCGATTCTCGATTGGCGGCGACAGTTCGCGCGACGATCTCTCCTCTGGCAGAGCGTTTCTTCAGTGTCGCGGGATTCCCACAGGTCTGGCGAAAAGATTACCGGTCTCTTCCGCGGTTGGTCGCGAACTGTTTTAAGTCATCGACTATTTTCTGACAAGCTTCGGCCTCTCTCGGCTTCTATGAGGTGCGCACGCTGCGCAATCAGTATTCACGAGAAAAGGCCGCAGACGACACAATAATTGCAAGAAGCACGCGCGCGTGTGGGAAAATACGACAATTCCAACTCGAACCGGTGCGACACGCTGCCATCGACCAAGATCACGCTGACGAATTGAATAATTGAGAAATCCCTCGTCGCGAATCGCCTTGTTCGTTGCGCGATGCCTCGATGATAGACGGAAGCATCGATAGCGCCCAAGTGGTGTTACACTGAGACACGCACGCGACGGGACGTTGAAGAAATCACACACTGCGGCGTATTGTCATGGGCAAACTTTATTAACGCCGGCAGATAACGATCTGCCGATCTTTCCATTGTCGCAATGTGTATGTATGCATCCGAGCCAATTACAAGAACGCATCATTGTTGGCATTGTTATCAGTTTATGGTTATTACGGAATTAAGCGGATAATGTGATTTAATATCGCGTTTGTGTCATGTTAATCCGATAACATGGAGTTGTCGCTTTTTTTCGGGCAAATCGCTGGAACGCTCGGCGGAAAAATTGATTTATTATTGCCCCGAGAGATATACGACGCTTTTGTACTATCATTTTTTCTCGCCGACTGGAAGCCAACACTTTAATTCGCTTTAATTCGCGTCTTTATAAGCGGCCGACTGACAAATAAACCTACCCAAAAGATATACTCCGATTTCTCTCTAATTTGAACAAATGTAGAAGTACAAAAAATATTTACATCATATTTTTTTCATTTCGGCCCACTTTGAGTTTCACGGACAGTTTATAGTTTTTGCATGTTCTCACTCCTCTCCACCATTAACAAGTGCAACAAAAGTGCATAAGAAATAAAATTGAATGCAAGATATAGGCATTTTTGGTTTGCTGATTATAAATATGTCAAATGAGTGAGAACATTAAGGCTCCTGGCCCCTCGCATTGTCTATCTCTTTTTAATAACGTCAGAAACGAGAAAATGCATGCTAAAAGTTCTTGCGAAATATGTTAAAATAAAAATATATATCCATAAAGTAACACTTGCAATCGATTAAACAAATTTGTAAGATATTCCGTGCACTCCCCTTTTGTTCTAACAATCAATAATTTGTTGTAAATTAACGTGACATACAATTCATTTTCTATTTTTTCGCCTATTTCTACTCAATTAATTTATAATAAATTATTGATTGTTAGAGTAAAAGGGCAGTGCACGGAATATTTTACAAATTTGTCTAATCGATTGCAAGTGTTACTTTATGAATATTTTTATTTCAATATATTTCATAAGAATTTTTAGCATACATTTTCTTGCTTCTGACGTCATTAGAAAGAGATAGACAATACGAAAAGCCAGGAGCCTTAAAACGATGTTAACTAACTTAGCATAGATTTGAAATATTTTGGTTAGAATCTCGGCTAAAAAAATTTGGGATGGTTCGTGTTTCAGCTATGCCGATTTTGTTAAAATTTTAATTAAAGTTGTCGGATTTCGGCTTGGCCGAGATTCGAACCATTTTTGACTAATTTGGCACAGAGATGAAATATTTTAATTGGAATCTCGGCTAAAGAAATTTAGAATAGTTCATGTCTCAGCTTTGCCGATTTTGTTAAAATTATTTAACAAAATTTATTATATCTTGTATTCAATTTTATTTCTTATGTATTTTTGTTGATGATAGGAGTAAGAACATTAAAAAGCTATAAACAGCCCATGAAATTCAAAGTGAGCCAAAATGAAAAAATATGACCTAAATATGTTTTGTACTTCTACATTTGTGCCAAATTAGAAAGAAATCGGAGTGTAACTTTTGCGTAGGTTTACTTGTGAGTGAGCGAAAGGCTGATCAGAGGAAATTTCGATCCGGGGACCAGTTGCTAGTCGAGAGAATGCACGGGATATCTTGGCTAACACACACGTCGGAAGTGTTTCTGATTATTAATAGATGATTATGCGTAGGTTACCTTTACATATTCACCAGCACGGTCCACGTGATATAAATAAATGCACGCGTCCAAGCGAGTCACGCGAGCGCGACGATTATTGTAACTCGGTCCTCCTCGGCCTCAAATCGAGGCGACGCGAGATTTCAACGTGAGATTCGTCGAACGTGTTTGTGTGCGAGGCACAGGAAGCACACATAAAAGGCCAAAGAGCCCTACGAAGGAGTGTAGTTGTCGAAATGCAAGAGAAAAGAAGAATCAGTCGACTGTTCACCTTGAATCTAGGTGTTACGAAATGTACGCGCGATACAGATACCCTTACAGGTACCAATGGCGCACACCTTGACCAAGAGATGGAAGTCAACTGTTGCGCGTGGCTGAAATGAAAAAAGAGGTCATGGATATCCACTTGTGTAAAGATTTTAGCCGCATTTACGTCATCGACCATCGGGATGCGGCACATTTTTGTATCTAATCTCTTTTCTCACACACAGAAAAATATATACAACTTTTAAGTAACTATCTATTATTGGATGTGAGGATAGATGTAATAAGAAACTTCTCGCATCTCTGCCAGTGGTAAAAGGAAACAATTGTATTTTTGTTGTTATAATTTTGCGAAACAATGCGAAAGATAACGGAAGATACAGATTAAAGTGATATATATACTGTTTAATAAAATGACAACAACGTGAAGACAATCGTGTCGTTTTGTCGGAAAAAATCTAAAATTTCTTATTACACAATCCAGTACTTGTCTCGAGTATTTTAGAAGTTTATATATCCGCAAATCTATTACAACAGTTCGTCTTTATACTTATTATTTTTTTTTCTTTTAGTGTATATTTTAAGACTATTACCGGAAAATATTCTTTATTGAAGATAATCATCACTCAAAAGGAGGAAAGCAAGTAATCGAGTAATCATTTTTCTTAGCGGCAGAAGGACATTTTTCTGCGTATATGGGCTTTTTCAGTCCGTTTTCCGGCTTCCATCGCCGCCGCTGGAACGATATCGCGCGTATGTATCAGCGTGTATCGCGAAGCGGTTATTGTCGAGATATCGCGGATCTCGATTCGATTTCAAAGGGAGATTCGCGCGCGGAAAGATATCGCGTAACTCGAAGAAAATGCGGAACAAGTGGAGGCCGTAATGTTGGACGTGCGATCGTTCCATTCCGGCAGTCTCTGTGCCAAGTATCTCTTCCGAGAACGTGTCGTCCCGCGGAAGATCTCGCGTACGAGACACGTGCACACGAGCAGGGCTCTTATTTTCGAAAAATATCGCGATATTTTTCAAGAATAAGACCCCAAGACGCAAGCGCGAAGCAGGACACAAGGAATGCGTCATGCACTGTTGGCCGCTTCTATTGCATTACGCGCCTAACAAATGACCGTTCCGTGACTCGTATTAATGATGACAAATATATATATGTAAGGTGACCAGACATCACGTTTTTCCCGGGACAGTCCCAGTTTTCAGCTCGTGTCCCGAATTTTTTCATCATCCGGGACGCCAATTTACCAAAATGTCCCGGTTTATCCCGGTTCAGAGAATTTTTACGATGCTTCAAAGAAAGAAAATCTACAGCTCTAGTAAATACAGTAGCTTGTTTCTTTTTCTTAATTTTAAGTAAGAATAACAACAGCTTTATCTTGGCAGTAGTTTCTATTTTTATTGAGTTTACTGGGCTTCAGTAGGTCTCTCCCCCCAATGTTACTCAATTATTTTTTTCACATGTCTATAAATGAAATATTATTTTATATGTGGATATATATATGTAATCTTCAGTAATTTTTTTACTCCCCTTATGGCGGCGATTCTCAGACTTAACAAAGCCTTCGGCTGCCGACGATGAGGGACACGATAGCCTCTCTCACGGTAGATGTAACGAATTCCCACTTGGAGCGTGGGTGTTCGTCATGGTTGTTTTCGCGGATGGTTCAATTATTTCCGTCTGGCGCCGAAGTTCCGTCTCAACGACGTCGCGTGAAACGCCGAACGGGCCGCGCGTTCCACATACTCGATCGGCGACCTGTACTTTTATCTTATCGTTGAGCACCAAAAAAGCAAAAGGACGCCTGTAAGTGCGA